CGGGAGATCTTCGTGGCCATGGTAACAATGTGACATCATTATGTTGAAAGAAGTCTATTGTGACTCTTGCAACATGTGGTCGGGCATTATCTTGTTGAAAGTTGGATCTGCCAGGGTGTCAAGATAGGGTAAAAGATGGGGTTCTAGAACTTCGTGGATATAACGCTGCGCGTTCATGTTACCTCTGATGAAGATTAAAGGTGACCTGGAACAATAAGCTATAACACCCCAAACCATAACTCCAACAGTGTTGCCTTCTAACCCTGGCACGACCATCGTGCATGCCTAAACAAAATCGAGACTCGTCACTAAAGACAATACTGTTCCATTCCTGATCCCAGAGTGACCGTTGTCTGCACCACTCGAGGCGATTACGTCGGTGTTCTCGAGTTAAAGGGAGGACCCAGTGTGGCCGGTATGAAAACAAGCCAAAACTTCTCATTCGTCGGTGAACACTTCGCATGCCAATAGGTCTTCCGTGTTCTGTAAACCATTCATTTGCAATGGACCTGGTAGTGGAGAAACGGTCCCTTAAGGCCAATAATTTTAGGCGGCGATCTTCACGGTCTGTGTTTCTACGGCGGCGTCCAGTGCCCCTTGCTCTTTGCGTACGGCCTTCTCGAAGCCATGCCTGACAACACCTAACCACAGTGTCTACACTTCTTTGCACTCTAACTGCAATTGCCCGAAAAGAAAGTCCAGCTTCCCGAAGTCCCACTATACGGCCCCTATCAACCTCACTAAGTTGACGAAATCGTACAGGTCTCCGTACTCTAGGCATCGTAACCGATCGTAAAGGATGTCAAGAACCAAAATCCGCTAACGTTGATTCTTTACTGCGGCTGAAATATTCATTTTTAGAGCGTTGGTGAATTAAAAAAAAGCAGTATAAAAACCGGAATGTCCAAATGATAAGGCTGAAAATTTTTTCACTTTTTATTTACAGTAAGATAAATACATTCACCAACTTTTATTAAAATAAAACCATTTAAACTGGGTGTTCGGATTTATATGTCACTTAGTATATTTGCATACTGCAACCCGCATGCCGCTAACATGGTTGGTGATTGCAGACTGATAGGATGCTACGAGGAGTCGACTTTTGAAACAAGATGTGACGGAAATACGACCGAGTATAAAGATCGTAATTAGCTCCTTGTCTGCGCAACAAAGTGTACGTGTTGCAGGCTGAATGCTACTTGATTACTGACCAATTTTCAAGAAGTATTAGGCAGTTCATGAGCAAGAAAGGGTTAAATAGGCGTAGCAAGACGAGTGACAGCTCTGATGTAGAATCGCAATCATGTGATCGAGACAGCAGCTCTCTGGAGACATTAGAAGTATCCTAGCCCGGGTCTATACTGTTTTTTTATTGAATATGCTACAAAACTGTAACTTATAAGTTGCCACATTTGATGGGCAGTATTTGTGTCAAATCATGTTTGTGTTACTTCCATGTCCCACAAGCTTAAACACCTGCGGGCCGCTTATTACTTAATCTAGGTTCTCTTGCGACTATGTTTAACTTTCAATTATAATATCGTCCATTTTATAATTTCAGGAATTAGTAATAGTAAATATAAAATAACTCTTCAAATGACATACTGTACCACCAGTATTTTTACAACCGGTCATCATACGTAATTACCATTACTTTGACATTTACAATCCCTATAAAACCCCAGCTGTGTAATACTTGTTGTTACATGCTGTATATATTTTCTCTAGACAGTGCGCCATATCGTGACGATGCTTATTTGGCGCACTATTTTTAATGCCCTTCTATACATGAAAATCTAAAAGGGAAAACAGATTTCGCTAGTCTTGTATATGGTTATTATTTTCAAGTTTCTTATCTTTGTATGTTTCGTTTTTTTCACATTTAGTTTTATCTAACTTTATTCAAAATATACAGGAGTCTTTTCACTACTCATTACATATACAATTTTTTTGTTTATTGAACCACTAAAAAATGGATGCATCATCGTGGAAATGAGGGCATCAGGACGCACTCAGAGAAGAAAAACTTTACCTGTCGAATTCAAAATGCATTAGACAGCTGAAAAATAATCATTCATCAATCTTTACTAAAGCGAGTGAATCTGCCCCTTCAAATCTATAACATGGGTTGTTTTCTGGGAGGAAGTAACTAATGATCAACGTTCAAAAGGATTTTTTTTCAATAAAACCGGCGCAGATCCGTGTTTACTCCAGTCTTGCAGAGCGGATGATTCATATCAAATTTGTCTATTGTTTGGTTGTATACAAACGCTTTCACTATGTTTACTCAAATAGTTTTCGAGACTAGATCTGAAACACTAACACGTTTCGTTAATGGCAGGTGCTCCTGGAATACCTCTCTAAGTACTATTCACTATCTGGGGCCCCGCTGTTCAGAGTCCAATCCATAAGTCATCTGCCAGCCCAGCCTTAAGACGATATGTTTATTTATTTAATTTGACAAACTACCGAAAGCCGTGAAAAGCACCGAATTTCACAGAGCTCAGTGTAAATGTAGCGTTTTCTAAACATCTTATGTCAGTTTGGCAACACTGCGTCGGTAAATCGTGAGCCATGTTGTTGCAAACCATGAATGGGTCCAAGAGCCGACCGCATAGTTTTGGTTAGAACGCATACTGATTGATATATTACGGAAAAATTCAGCAAGTTTGCTGTTTGGCATCAGAATTTGACTAGCTCTTATCACACCACATCAGTACGCAGTGTAATCTAAGAATGTGTTGTCGACTCCCCTACTATAGTGTAGAAGAAACCCAAGGACAGCCAGATTATAAAGACATACCACCAAATGGTTTCTTTGGTCTGACTATGTGAACGACTGGTTTAAGTTGAAATAAGAGTGTGCTTAGAATTTTTAGAAGCCTGAAACGCCATTGAACCGTATTTGATCAATTTCAGTGTTGATAAATTTGCAGAATTCAAATTCTCAATAGTCATTTATAGGAAGGGTTATCATACAAATTCTATAAATGTTGGAAGTAGCAAGAAAGGATGTTGAATATCCATCGATTCACAAAATTGCGTAAATACATGGTTTGCGCTCTTGCAAATATTTCAAGTTATCGGAGTTCATTTCGCGTTAGTGAAATGCTCATCAATCAGCTGAAGTCTGAAAGTGAACTCTGCCATAGGCGTGACATTTTATACGGATGGGACTTAATAATTTTGTACATATATATTTTCATCTTAAATATCTCCTATCGCCAAAAGGTGATGCTAGATATCCTTCAACTTCATTTGTCTCAAATTTGTACGTTTAAGCTGTTTTAATGCCACATCGTACCATCTAGTCATATAAGATTCGACATTTTCCAGGTCTTCGTTTATTTGTTTGAATTAAAATCGGTGATACTGTCACATAGTACTACCAGAGGCGACAGTCTGTTAAAAATCACTGCCAACCAGAGAGCTGCGTATTTAGTGGGATCTCAATTGCTGTCAACTGTCACTGAAATATTTACTTATATCAAACCTTTCAACAGTTTTTGGTGGTATTATTCAATATACAAAGCTCTCTTGATTCTCTAGTCTGACGTATGACATTCGTGACGTCACGCCAATGAATCGTAACCACCCCTGGGAAAAATTTCTCCGGACGCCCATGGAATCGGGTAGGGAGCGCGCTAAACACGGGTCAAAGCGACCAACAGTAGCTGTCTCATCTATATAATCTATGCATATAGAATGTTATCAGTTTATACGCTCACAGCATCATAGGGGGCGGACAACGTGTGATTCAAATCGAATCAAATAAATCGACTCGGCATTTTCCTCTAATCCATGTTGGGGATTTTTTTTGCGTTGCCGTTGCGTAAAAGTATGGCTAACGTATTCTCCCCGAAGATATACTGTGCTCCAGCGTTTATCTAAAATATACTATCACAAGAATGAATTTAGAAAAATTTCTGAGTGTTTGGTTCTGCTACTCTCACATAGATGGCGCTACAGCCCAATTAGATGCCAAAATGCAGTACATTATTGGCTATCCTTGATGGAATATGTTAATCAATGGTAAAAGCAGAAGTTTTTATTATTACTGTTTGAAAACTACTTATGATAAACATGAACAGCTAGTCAAACTTGTCTCAAATAGAAAACATAGTTTTTTTGACTTAGACGGAACTTATTAATTGAATTTTAAAATGCACATGATACGGTATGTTAAATTATCTTATTGGCTTTGGCTTGCAGATGCGCACTCTTATGTCGAGATTTTGCATAACCATACATACAATACATTTAGATGAGTCTCATTAAGCGTTGAATTTCCATCTTTTAACGCAAAAATGTCTGTGGGCTTGCTAGCAATGTTTCTCACCTTAGTGAAATATGTTTATTGCTCCTTTTTCTTGATTGTTTTTTCCTTTAGACGATTACAGCAACTACAAAGTTGTAATTTGGACATAAAAGACAGCTGCATTTATTTGTAGTATTTCGCAAGTATCACGACTTCAATGAAAAAACTTGGAATTATTCAGCTTTTCGTAAAAAGAACCTACAAACGTTATACTATTTTGGAAAGAGCATCCAATAGCTAATTTTTAAGGTCATTTGCTGATTCAGTCTGGTACATTCTTTTTTCACGGTAATTAGTGTTACCGCATTTAAACAAAATATGATAATTTAGTTTTTTTTAGCATACCTTGCTAGTTTTTAATGAAATGAATAGTCAGTTGCTTCAACGAACTATTAATGGTACCACCGGAAAAAAGTTATAAGTTAGAAGTTCTTTATAGCCATAACACGCAAAAAGGAGCAAAAGGTATGGATTTTTTGAAAGGGGCAATATCTCAAAAACTATAAAATCTTTACTAATGTCATGTTGATCGATCTGCCGTGTCACTCTGGCGTATTATTTCTGGGACACCCTGTACATTGAGTGCGCGCTTGGTTAAAAATAAAACACAGGTTCACAACAGCATGCTTCGACAACATCGGCAACATCGGAGTTTTGTTTTTTATATCGAATTGTTGTGATTTACATGCTGACAGTTTGAACAGCATTCTGGAAGTAGCTAGGAATTACTTAAACAATAGGAAGGTTCGCCATTATTTGATTTTTACTCTCTTGTATACCACTCCACTGCTCCCAATCTGAAATCTGTCAAACTATTTCTTTTACCTTGTTGCAAAGACTACACCAGGCGAATAGATACAAACTTAAACATTGCGAGAATGTTGAGATACCCTTCAACCTAAAACAAATACTAATTTTTATTCCTGTCCACAGTTGCTGTAGTGGTGGCCTTCTTCATATGCTGGGCTCCATTCCATGCTCAACGTCTGCTGGCAGTCTACCTGTCTGCCTCCCCACCAGAGGAGCAACAGAGGCTGGTCAGCCTCTATTTGTACCTCATGTACGTTTCTGGGGTGCTGTACTTTGTGTCTACATGTGTCAACCCCATACTGTACCACATCATGTCTAAGAGATTCAGGAAGGCGTTCAAGGTACGTGTAGCTGTCCAGTGTATCAGGAGCGCAAAATGTAAGCTTAAGGCGTTTTTGAAGTAACGGATCTAAAGGATACAGTTGAGTTCTTATAAAATACCTATCAAACCAGCGAAAAAATATAGACACTCTTTATAGGTTTGTAGCAGTTCAGTCAGCTGGTACAATACATCTTGATTTATATTATAGCAATTACTGAGCATTTTATTGAAAATAACAGTCACTTCTAGCCTGAGAGGATACATCTTGTAAAAAAATGCGTGTAACATAAGTTTGATAGACCTTCCTCCTCCCCCTGAGACGAATTCTTGGCGGTGCATACGATCGTTGCGATGACCAATCCCGCGTAAACGATGTTATTGGCCTTTACCATGCACAGTTCCCGCAGCCCCAGGGTTGCCATATTGTGGGATTTGGGTGAATTCCTCTTCCCTCCTGGTATTTTTGGGGGATAAAATGTTCTGGGGGACTTTTTTTGAAAGAAAATAACACCTTTGTGTATTTCCTGGGTATTATTCCTAATCTCTTTGTTTCAGGGTACATTTCGCAAGGTGTGCTGCGCAAAAAACTCAAATCACTACCTGGTGGTGCACAAGGTACCCCCTTCCGAACGGGACATGCAGAGGTCCAACTCTGAAGGAGTCCCCCAATTGACGAGGGAGTTCGCTCAGAATCGGGGCCAGTCAGAATACCCGATCCGACTCGGAGACGCGGGCAGAAGTTCCACCAGAAGTACTTACCTGCTAAGTTCGTTCCGGGCGCATAGTCTCAAGGACAAGAGCTGCTTCAAGAAGAATAGTGAAAAGAATATTTACGTTATGCCACTGAGGTTGTGCGGTATGTTCAGGAAGCATGACGTGACAAGAGCCAGTTTCGATACCTCGAATACCATTAGTAATTCTAGTTTGAAGGACACTGATTCCAGTGAGTTTAATCGTTACGATTTGGTTAATAATATGCTTAGAATAAATGAAAAGATGTTGTAAGTTGGGATGTTTTATTTCATTTTACCCAGTTCTATACCTGTCATCTCTACGTATGTACCAGGACATCTAGAATTCCAGAAAAGATATATAGATAGATTTTACAACAAAAATATATTCTCGAGTGCAATTCAAGGGATTCTTCATTAAGAACATAGGTTCTAAAACTTATTTAGCATACCCCCCTCCCCCTCTCGTTCAGGCCCTACAAGTCTGCACAAAAGAGCTATTAAGGAATGAGTCTGCATATCAGTCGATCGTTATCTGCTCAGGCAACAAGTCGGCCATAAGTTCACCACAAACATCGTCTAAACTAGTACGGGATTGAACACTCTCAAACAGCTGGGAAGCTGCAACACACAAGGATTCAAAAAGGCGGATGAGCTAGTCCGACAGGGTGCGGCCAATCGCCTTGTACGCATCCAGAGCCTTCCTGTGGCGTGGCGAGAACACGCACTAGAAAGTCCATGAGGAATTGGACCAAGAAAAAGTCCTAGAATGATGGTACAGCCAATTAGAGCAAAGAAGAGGACTTACTTGTAAGGCTCTTGGGTCTGCCAAATGGGTTCACATGTCGTTTCTGCAGAGAGCATGAGAAAACCCCAGTGCATCTCCTTTGTCAATATGATAACCTGGTGAGGCTACGGTCTCAGATAGTAGCGACCACAGGTCCACCAGCGGCCAGCGTCATCCAAGGCTCTGTGTCAAGGCTATGGAGTCTAATTAAAGAATCGAGGCTGGACGCAGTGTTTTAGAAAGTACAGATGGGGGTGACAATAGATCCATTTGGGTCGCAGTGATGTTAAGGCTAGCAAGTCAACCCGTTCTTTTGTAATATGTCATTTTCGTTGCAAGTTTTTGCAAAAAACACAAAATTAGCCATTGCATTGACCCCACAAATCAATTCATTCATCTATTTCGGTCCTCAATCTGGCAAGGCCTAAAGCATAGATGCAGCCTGCCTTCTCCGATCTCTTTAAAAACCTCATATACTTCTATTTCTTTCTCATTAGTATCCCACTTTTTCTGCCATTCTCTCATTACTTGATCTCTCATTAATTTTTGCTTCCCTCTTGTTATAGGCCCACACAATCTTCCATTTGATTTCCTGTTTTTCTAGACCTCAACTAAGCAGTAACTCTGTTCGCCCTAATCTGGAAACTTTGTCGCGTTCGAGCAGTTAATCCCCATAACACAATTTCTAGTATATCCGTTACCTTTCCAGTTCCTAACTAAGTTAAGGGTTGTGTCAAGGTGTCTTTTAGGGTCAACCGCTCACGCATCGATAGCTTCGCATTTATAGTGGACCCTTGAGGGTTGAGTGACGGTTGAGGGTTCATCATCCATTGGTTTTTAAACAAACAATAACTCACCCTTAATTGACAATCAATTGGAGATTTGCTTTTCATAATTTTCAATATACAGGGTGAAGCGTAATTATGGGGCGTAGTTTCAAGCGCGAATTGCTGAATTTAATTCATGTTGTAAAGCTCATATGAACATATATTATCGCAAATACTTCATTACTTACTTTAAAATGAAAGATTAGGATGTAACTTTTATGAAAATATCATTTTTTCTTTAAGGAACCATCGGCTTGCTATTTTATAGAACTTCAAAGTTTAATTTCTGGTGGTAATACTCTAGAATAGAATACTATTTTATACGCTGTCTTTATTTGCTTTTTGCACAAAAGGATGCTCCAAATTAAAAAAATATAACATACACATAGTACTAAGTAAATGTGAAACTGTAAAAAATCGTTGTTTTTTTCCGAAAAAAGCTCCTAACCCAGCCGTGTTATTACTATTATTATTAGCTAAAATAACAGTCCAAAATACATACGTAAATGATGGTATTTACTTGGTAAGCTGTGTAGAGGTGTTGTGTTGTGATTTTTCAATGTCTTCTTGAAATTTCTTAACCATTTTTTGCGTTTATAAGAAATATTTGAAAGTACAAACAATTTTCAATGGCCATTTTTAACGTTCACTTTGACAGATAAGATGAATAATGTCCATTGTTGCCAAGTTGTACTTTTTTGGTAGAAATAGGTAATAAAAAATGAGGTTATTTGCAAAAGAAAATTCTTAATTTATTGTAAATGGCTTGTTTTATGAGAAGTTGTCCCAATATTTACCGAAAAATAGATCAAATTTTGAACAGGGGAAAGAAAAAATGATATTATCGTGAAAGTTATATCCTAATCTTTCATTTTAAAATAAGAAATGAAATATTTGTGATATGCGCTTAAGTGTAGTTCAGCCACAGGGTGTCCCGAAATTGAATGGTTATCCTGCAATTCAGCAGAATTTGAGGACTGTGAGAATTTGTAAAATTCGGAACATTTTGGAATCGTCAAAATTCAGGAGATTTCTAAGATCCCTAAAAGCCCAATAATGTTAAAACCATATCTTATACTATAGTTTGAGATGATATATCATCAAGATTTGAAGATTTAGAGAACTTTCAAGGTTTTGCAAATTGGAAGATTGGAAGCTTTCAGAATATTGAAGATCTTTCGAGAAGTTTCTTATATTTAGAAAATATTGAAGAAAATATGAGAATTTTGAAAATTTGTAAAAGTCTAAAAATTTTGAAAATTCTGAAAAGCATAAAAACGCCCTAATTATTGAAATCCTAAAAAAAATCAGTACTACGGAAACTCTAAAGACTTAGACGAAAAGTTTAAAAATTTAGAAATATGAGAAGAATATGAGACGTTTGAAAATTTTGGAAATTTTTAAATCACTGAAATTCTGTTAATATTGAATAAGTATAGTTCAGCCACAGCGTGCCCGGAAATTGAATGGTACTCCTGCAATTGAGACGAATTTGAGGATTGTGAGAATTTGTAAGATTATGAACATTTTGGAATCTTTGAAAATATTGGAAATTGTCAAAATTCAGGAGATTTTTAAGATCCCTAAAAGCCCAATAATGTTAAAAATCATATATTATATTATAGTTATATTTTGAAAATATAGATACCGACAACTTTGGAAATTTTCATCATCAAGATTTAAACATTTTGAGAACTTTCAAGGTTTTGCAAATTGAAAGTTTTGACAATTGAGAAGAACTTGAGAATTTTGAAAATTTGGAAAGATTGGAAGCTTTCAGAATATTGAAGATCTTTCGAAACGTTTCTTATTTTAGGAAATTTTTACAAAACTGAAATTCTGTTAATATTGAACCCTAAGAATGCTGCTAGTTTTGATAATTTTTAATATTTCTACAGCTCTGAGGTTTTTCTGACGATTTTGCAAGTTCTGAAAGTTTTGGTGCCATTAAGAATACCGACAACTTTGGAAATTTTGAATGAATGAACTTTTAAACGTCATATAATTTTGAAAAGTCTTGCAATTCTGAGAATTTTTAATCTTTTATGATCTTGAAAACACGAAAGATTCCAGTATCATAACGATTCTGAAAACCTCGAAGACGTTAAAACGCTGGCACTGAATATGGTCCGCCATTCGCGATCGCCTGATGGTAGCAGTAAATACGAGTAGACCTGACGTACGGGTACCTCCGCGTATGCCAAGTTGTACTATAGGCGAAAACTGGCAGAAACTTAGTTACGCATATTTCAAATGCTATATGCCTGGCATAATCATCAACTGTTAGTTAGTTATGGGCATGCGACATACCACCACCTTAGATTATGTACCGTCAGTTATTGAAAAAAATGCATTTCATTCGTGTTTGTATTTGCAAGGTAAAACAGATAAGTTAAAAAGCATGGTATGCAAAGTAGAATAAATGCAAACTTATTAGGTACAATTTAAATGAGCTGGAGATACCGAAAGTAATTATCGAAATTACTTGATGCATCGGTTTAAGTTAATTGACAGGTAATAACTTATCAAACAACACAGATAGGAAAATACGCATAATATAGTATTTCCTGCTAATCGCAGCTAGAAGAATCGCAAAACTTTACAGCTAAAACGCGTGTATGAACAGCCGTTGATATGACCACATCCTGAGATATATTTTTAACCAACCCTGTTATGACCTTAGGCCCGGTTCTTATAATAAGACTGCGGAAAGCGCCATGTATCACACCATAATCGATCACTGCGGACAGCTGTCCTCAGTTCACGTTTAAACGCCCAGTCATTCCATGACCGCTAGATGGGTGACGATTCTGGCTGTAAAGTAGATGTGCCGTTCAACTTCTGGTGTGATAGATGGCGCTTTGCTTTGTTTTATTTCGATAGACCGTACCTCGTGGATAGAGGATAGGTGCGATCATGCTGATGAGTATCTAAGAAGCACGAAACAGCTGTCCAAGGTTTATAAATTGTAAGTTAAATATTAGTTGTGTGTAAATTCGTTTTTCAAGCTGCAATGCTACTTCTGCGTCTTCTGTGTGTTTTGTGGCAATCCATTGTGTCATCTTCGTAGTACAGGCAGAAGCTGCGTATTTGCAAGACCTTTAGCACTGAATGGTACTGCATGGATTATTTCGGAATGAAATGTACCTACTCAGCAGGTGTACGCCCAAAATATGCGTTAAATCAAGCATTCTCATCAAAAAAGTTTTTATTTTAAATGCACCCAAGTGGTTTTAGACCGATTCATTTGTTTTCTTGAGTAGTTCCTTGTATACTATTGGTTCTGAATTAGCTTTTCTACCTTTAGAAACCGTAGAAAATAAGATCAGCACTTTTGAATAAAATCGTCAGAATGTCCTCAGTAGATCCTTTAAAAATGGTGCAGGAATGACAGACCAATTATCCCTCCTGGAAGTAGTTTTTTTACAGTTTGTTTGGGATGTCGATGCGTGTTCTAATGAAGATGAAACCAATCTACGGCGTATACTAAGCAACCCTACAGGTCCACACAAAAAAGTGCAGAAAAACGGTCAGTCATTACAGCCGTACACGGGTATTCTGACGGGCTTCTAGATAATAACTTCAGGGAAGCTACGGTGAATCAAACAGAATATCGATGGAAAAATCTGTTAAACCTAAGGGAGGTTATATTAATCAATA